TAGATATATTCTTGCGTTTATTCTTAATAGAAGGACCAGCAGTGGTATTCATGGTTTTCGAATCAAGAATTAAGATTCTTTGGTAACACTATTATCCTCAACAATTAATTATCTTGTTTCGCCACTCAGATAATCGAAGGACAAGAATCGATTATCCTTTTCCGATATAGGGATTAGTGGTTTAAACTATCAGGGATATATTATGATCAGAGTAAATGCGATACTCGTTTATTGATAAAGGAATCGGATAATAATATTAAATAAACTTTCAAACATTCGAAACACACCGATACTAGCTGACTCCTACGCTGCTTGTATATCTTCTGAGCTACTAATTGTCCTATTTTTAGCAACGTTATTCTGAGCTACGATTATTGGCTTGTTAAATTTCTCACTAAGTAATCGCCTTCGTGCTTCCAGCTGTTAAATTTCTAAATTAACAGTACTAGGATCACATGCCTGCGCAGAAATCTAGGAGGAATACGTCACTAAAATTCGTCGATACGTCGACTTTCTCAAATATTGATGACACACATATACATTGTTGCTGTAAGTGGTGTAAATAGCTGGCGTGTTCAAATGGTAAGTCTTCGGCTCCTTCATTAACGATGTATGCGATTACTGCGACTTTAAACCAATACGTGCCCAAAATCTCTTTTGCCAGCTCAGAATTTCTACGATTACTTAGATCTATATAGAATATGCGTCAGCTAGCCGGGTCTACCGCTATGAGCGACTCTATCGGATCTTCTCCACTGCCTTCTACCATTCGTCGTACGTCTTCTATATTTCCGCTTCCCGTTGGTATTGTTAGGCATTCGTAATTGATAATTGGGCTCTTCCCCTGGATTATTGCTGCTACTTCTCGTCTAACTCGTGGCTCACACGGTGACGCCTCAAGTAAGTACGAGTCGGTGTTAATGGTGTTTCGGTAAGCGGGGTTTGTTCGGACCAAGGTAACGAATTCCAATCCCATGATCCATCGTGCAAATTCCTAAGATCTATCTATCTCTCTTTCGGACTGGATAATTGTATCCGTCATAATCTCTGCTCCAGACGGATTGTAACTTGACAAGGCTGTATTTTGCAATAACTCCTCCCCTCCGATTGTATATACTCCGTATTCCGTACATACTCCGTGTTATGGAGAGGAAAGGGATGAATGGCATAAGCTCGTGTCGAGGTAGGTCTGCTCGGGTGGCGTAATAGTCCATGTTTGCCGATACGCTCCTTCCGACCCACTCTTCAAAGTTTCTTGTCTTCCAGTCATCCACTTGTTGATATAATACACACTTGATTCTCTTCTTTTGACGATGTAATAATAGTTGCGGTAGCAGAGTTGATGCTTGTATTTGGCAGTTGAAAAGAGGGAGAAGATCCGTCCCAGATCTTTGTGGGTTCAAAAGTCAATACTGTTGCGGTCGGTGTATTATTAGTATTAGGGTGGGAGAGCCAATAATAATAATAAATTAGGTAGCTGTATTCACCGACACAGGGGGATTTAACTCAGATCGCTACTTACTAATAGCGATTGTCTATTACGACTGAACTAAATTTATAAGTGACTATTTTATGTGCGCGCTTCCTTAACTCCCTAGACGGAGTAAAACCTATATTCGTCTCTAAGTAAGGGTTATCTATAACAATATATCGTTACAACTAACAATAATCGAAGGGGAATATTTAATTTCTAATGTAAAACAGGGCGGTCTTCGATTTAGTGTTTTGACTAGTCGGGGTATCTCGTCACTTCTAATTAAATTTTAACCAATTAAACGATAAAACGGGAGATCGATGTCGAATATTAATTATGCACTCTTTAAAGTAAAAAGTGATTCTTGCTCAACGGATATATCGCTAACCGAAGTATCTGCGAATAACCTGTAAGCTAAGCTATGTCAGTATCAATCCGGATCAAATAATCAATATTCAACGACGATAATAGTAAGATAATAAAATATATAATTTATTATATGGAACCAAACAACATGAAGATTTGATGATGAGAGAAGCGCTACTTATATAAGGACTGCCACCGAAAACTGAAACGTCGAAAAATTACTAAATTAGCTATTGTTTGTATCTTGTAATGGGTAATTATATCCGTCGTATTCTCTACTCCAGACGGATTGCAATTCGACAAGACTGTATCGAGCAATGACTCCTCCCCTTCGGTTATTATAGATGGTATATACACTGTATTCTGTACATACCCCGTGTCTGAAATTGTCGGCATCGAGGAAAGGGATGAAAGGTATGAGCTCATGTCTAGGTAGGTCTGGTCGGGTGGCGTAATACTCCATGTTTGCTGAGATGCTTCTCCCGATCCACTCTTCGAAATGTCTTGTCTTCCAGTCGTCCACTTTGTCTTTGGTATAATACGCATTCGACTCTTCCGTTGTCTTTTCTTTTGACGATATAATAGTATCGGCGGTATTGGAGTTGGTGTTTATATTCGGCGGTTGAGAAAAGAGAAAAGATTCTTCCCAGATCTTCATGTGTTCTAAAATCGATATTGGTTCCATCGAAGTTGAGGAGGCTTCGATTATCTTCTCAGGCTGTTGGCATTGATTCGTTTGCTTGTTGTTGAGTAAGGATAAAAGAGTCCATTCCACTTCGGACTGCTCGGGGTATTTGTCGTTCATAGTTTTGCATACTGAATAAAGGTTAGTTTGATTTAAGTTATATGTTAAGATCACAAAAGTTGATTTGTTTGTTGATATAATGCTTAGCACTTGTCCTTGCTATGCTATCGATTGAAGTATGGAATTTAGATAAGGTCGTGTACTGCTTATATAGCTTCAGGCGTCCCTTCTGCTACACATGCTTGCGTCCAATATTACTGGTACTAAATGATGGTCTAAATATTCATGTGCCCACTTGTGTTCCTATTTCCAGATAGTAGTGATCAATGTGTCAACCTCTGTGAATCATCTTGATCATGCAATCTTTTTGTTTATATTTAGTATTAATGATCGACAGCAAACCATTCGGAATATACCGAAAAAGGAAACGTGTTCTAGAATGATCTGCAGCCACTTCTTGAATTTTGATTGGCTTACGCACTTTTTACGCCTGCATTCTTTGTGAAAAGACCAATGCTAGGTATGGTTGATTGTAATGAGCAGTAGCCAATAATCAGTATCTCTGGTTATAAAATGCTCGTCTACTAATTTCCTCTGTTGTTCTGCTAATTTTGTAATAGTTTCTCTCTAACTTGGCCTTAACCAGATGTTCTTTGTATTTTTTAGTAAGTCTCTCGCTTCTTCTTCCTTATGAGCATACTGTAAGCCATTCCGAAAATGGCACGTGTCACATTTGGACTCATAATTTGAATATAAGGCATTAATTGATGCCATAACTTGCGTAACGCATCATATTTTAACAATTTCAATGTGCTATCATTTTCGAGACCTGCAATAAAATCACGATAGACCGATTTGTAACTCGTTTCAGCTGGCAAAAGTGTAAGCGATTGAGTAATTCGGTTGATGTTTCTACCAGGACTTGATAATCCATATAGTTTTCGAGAAAATTCTTCACGGCGGCAGCAACGGTTGTATCAGGTTATTTTTGTTTGCCATCGTGGCACTCGTTTGATATTACCATGAACACGTGGTATTATACCATTCGTCGTTGGGTGATTTCTGACGGTTTCGAAGTGCGTGTGGCCAATTCCTAACATATTGAGATACGTTTTCTGACAAAGAGGCGTATTACGATCTCAATAATAAAAAGTTTGTTTTATTAGTACACGTTTTCTTTTTAAGACGTCGGCTGGTAGTTATTTCTCCACCATTTATTGCTTTCAACTGGGCCATTAAAAATATATCTTGCTCGGATCTGGAGAGAGCTTGAAACGCTTCACGTAATTCGGCAAACTTTTCTCTCGGAATCTTTTTTGAACAACCATAATTGCAACCTGCCTCCAAGAAACGTATTGCTTTTCATATTCGTTATTGGAACTACTAGATTCATTATTCTTCATGCATGGGTATTCCTATATATATAAATTTTATCACTTTGTAGTTCCCTTTGCTTTATTATTCTGTTTCATTTAACTTCTTTATATGCTTGTAGTTCCCTTTGCTTTATTATTCTGTTTCATTTAACTTCTTTATATGCTTGTAGTTCTCTACCTTCTGGTTATTTTTCTAATTCCAGCATGTGTTGAGCTGTATATATATTCTGAAAAAGTAAAATGAAGTACTCACTGACACAAAAAGCAAACTTTTTTTTTTTCAACCGGCACAGCAAATGGATACAGCCCATGAAATTTGACACTATATTCAACAGCCTGTAGCTGTGCCCTCGAAAACATAATCTAAAATTAAAAAAATTATTGGGCATGTTATTTTGGCCTAAAATCTGCATCTAACAACCCCCACTTGGTTTTAATGTCATTTTAAAGATGGGAAGGGATCTCTAATGGAAAACAAGACTAGAAGTGCAAAAAACTGTGGTGTCTTCTTGTTCACTGAATCATAAAAATCACTGAATGATTGTTTTCTACCTTGCATGTTATTTAGATTGACATTGACAGCATTATCTGTGGCCAGTTTAATTAACCCCATTCTTATTTTTTTTATATTATCTCCTGAAAAAATGAGGAACAAAAAAATCAAATAGGTGATAAAAATATTTTTGTCAAAAGCAAAATAATTCAAAAGAACACAAAAATAAAAATTGATAAGTATGTGGCTCATAAAGGAGTTAGAGAGGAAAAAGTCCTTTGATTGGAGTGAATGACATCCATATCCTCTGATACATGCAACATTCCTTTCAGGACTGTGATTTCTTTGTTATGCTCCTCATTTGATCTTGTGAATACTGCCCTGCCAAAATCGATTAACATCACCTTTCCATTGTCATTCACAAGTATGTTGTCTTCTCGCAAGTCCCCATGGATGATTCCATACTGGTGAACAGACTTCAACACATCCAAAGCTTTTTTCTTTTGCAAGTTGGTTAGTTTCTGTGGTTCAACTGGTCTTCCACACATGCTCATTCCTAATGCAAATATAAAACTTCCATCAAGCCTCCCCCAACAAGCCAGCTTGGGGATAGATTTTCCTTGTAGATCTTGCAAAAATTTGTAAACAAATACTTCATGCTCCAATTGGTAGTGGAGCTGAGGGTGTTTGGACAAATCGCAAACCTTAAGTGCAAGCAACTCTCCACAATAAGTCACAAGGAAGGTGCTACCTGACTCTCCATAGCCTAATGCACGAATTATATGTATATCCTTCAGTGATAAATAATTACAGGTGTACTGATTAACATTCCTTGTCATGGATCTTGTTACAGGTCTGCCTCTACTGGCACCTGCTTCCCCTCTGTCTTTAAGGTTATTTTTTCTTTGCCCTTTGCTTTCCTTGGGCTCATAGTTTGGGTCAGCAGCATTATCCTTATCAATTCCACTGGTGTCTTCTTGACCAGATGCTAAATAGAAAGAGAAATTATCAGAGTCTGCAGAAATATCACACATGTATGCATAGCATTGGAGAACTGTTGGTTCACTAGAGCTCAATGGAACAGAGTCACTGATATGTAGTATCTTTCCATTCGGTGAGTAGAAGAACCAATGTTCATCATAGGTTGAAAGAATGCCATATTTTTTGCCATTAGAGATCATGTAAGTAAATATCTGTACCACTGAATCTTGTATTGGGTGAGTTCTCAGTCCCCTGGTCCTCATTTCATCAACAGCCATTGGATAGGCCTGATACAGAGGATTGGCAGCAGACATGACCCACTTAGTTTTTGCTTCAACTGGAAACAACAGATATTCATTTTCTGTTTTGCAAATAAAATCAGGTTCTCCAAGAGTAATAGAACCACTCCCTGGGCCTCTGATAAATTCTTCACTACAACCCTTCAGGATATCATTTAAAGGCCAAAGGATGTTATGGTATATGAGAGATTGCACATCAGCTTCACATGTTATTCGTGCCTTAACAAACACAGGTCGTTCATAGGTTTTTATGTCATAACTAAATTGATGGCTTCTGACATTCTCCAGAAACGATGTCCACTGTTCTACTGCGTCCAGAGCTTTAGGACAGGAAACTTGTGTAGTTGTGGAAGGATTCCTTTCAATACCATATTCACTTGGTGGCGGAATTAGAAGCAGCAGTTCAAGTGTAGAAACTTGTGCTGGCACTAGTAAGGCAAACACAGAGTCAACATCAACCTTGATGACATGAAGAACACCCACTGATGACAAAAGAAAATTATTGTCCACCCTAAGTACACACTACTCTATTACTATGTCCCTAATGCCAATTATTACCTGTCTGTGGAGTGACTATGGCAAGGAACTCGAGCAGGCGAGTTCGTGCAAGTGTGCATTCTTCTTCTGTAATAAGGCCACTATCCTGTGCCTTGACTAGTTCTTCGAGTCGTTCTGTCAAATAAAAACTCATTCTTGAATAGTATATGTCAACCCGCGATTTTTGGTTGCAAGTGATCTTATACCAATGGCTTATCAACCTCATACAGTCTCTTCTAGCTCATGTGACCAAATGTTCACTTTATTATTTCAATGTTTCAGATAATGACATTTGTTGAACAATCTTCGTTGATTATTATTATTCTCACGTGCTAATATACAACAGGGAATTACAAAGTCAAGATGAGAAATTACGTCATATTCGGGATAATCAATGTTTACTTTAACTAGATATAGAGATGCTTGAGATTTGCTTCGCAGAGATTTGTGTGTTAATTAGTTGTATCTGTTACGGTCGGGAAATAAAATGAGGTTTTTTGGGAGAGCGATTTATCTTTCGTGTAGGTGTGTTCGCCGACTGGGGGATGTTACCAGGCTTAGCTCGTACTATCGCCCTTACTATGATAGTTGTGCAAAGACTGAATTAAGCCTCAAGTGACCTATTTTATAATTAAATTAAATGCACGCTTTTCACTCCCTATCCGAGTTGAATACAAATAAGAGTACCTCTAATAAAATAATAACAACAATTATTCTAAGAATCGAAGGGGAATAATACTATTTTTCGATTTGTTGTTCCGACGTCGGGTATCCGTCACTTGCCTTTCTAAACTAATTAAACATTAATCGTCTCGATAATTAATTATGAACTCTCGTTCCGTTATTCACGTAATTGATCCACGGACAGCTTACTAGCTTGATCAAATCAATGCTATTCCGTTACAGCTTAAGTGAGCCGTTTATGGCTAACAATCAATTATTTCGACGATAGAAAATAAATTGTATATTTATAATAAAGGATTGTGGGAGAATACTACTAAAATCAGTAATATTTTATTTTTATTCGTAACATGACAACATTAATTTTTGACGATGGGATATGAGCTACTTATATACGTTTTAGCGTCGCGGAAAAAGCGCAACGCACTTTTAACCATTTCTAGAAAAATAATTAACTATAGATTAATTATAGCGTTTTGTGCTGTCGCGGAAAAAGCGTAACGGACTTTTAACTATTTCTAGAAGAACAGTTAAATATAGACTAATTATAGCGTTTTGTGCTGTCGCGGAAAAAACGCAACATTTTGTTTCCTAATGCAGTGTAGCGCCGTTGCGGGTTTTTGAAATGCTGATATTACTCGATCATGGGGTTGTTGACTGCGGAGGAAGATTTTACCATGTGACTCGCTTATTTGATTCATCAGATTGGCTCGCCGTAACATATCTTTTGTAGGGAGGATCGATTCATAAAGTAGTTGTTGTATGCATATAAATTGGTTGAATATGTTTAATGGAGGCGGTGTTATATTTTAATTGCCTGTAGAGCTTGATTTTTTGTTCGCGAGGAAGATGGGATTATGCAATGTAGGTATTGTTGATTAATTGGGGTTGTAAGTAATTGCTTATGTTTAATCGGGAATTTATCTGCCATGTCGCACAACTTTCCAGGTTGTGCAGGCTCAAATACTATCCCTTCATTGGACATTCAGATGGCTGCTCCTCCATAAATAGAAATATTATGGACTGTACAACGTGCGACCTGGCAGGTAAATTCCTGATACACAGGCAAACTCGATAAGTCGGTCGCTCGATGATTCAATTTTGGCCTAAGAAGGCCAAAACTTCCCAAGCCCTTTTCTCAGTTTTAATATTTAAAATCTCTCGATAAGTCGATCCATCATGCATGACCGACTTATCGAGTTTTCATGTGTAATGACATAAAAGCCCCGAGTATTGCGAAATTTAAATTATGCTAACTTACCCGTCTATTATTACTGGAACAAGTCGGCCTGGATGCAAGTTAGCGTTTTTAACGACATTCTTCTTAAACTCAACAAAGATATGAAAGAACAAAATAAAAATATTTTATTGCTGGTCCGGTACATATAATTCTTGAAGAAACAGCAGAGAAGTTAGACTTTATAGAGGTTAAATTTCTTCCTCCAAATACCATAGCCTTTCTTCAACCTTGGATGCTGGAATAATCAATTCATTTAAATGTAAATATAGAACTTTATTTATTCAAAATCTAATTAGGGCATATGACGATTTTCAAAACGGCTGATGTATCAATACGCGAAAGACTGGTATTGTTCCCGAAGAGACAGTTATTGAACACTACGATACAATTCTCGAAAGGTACAGTACAGTAAGTGATGGCTATATAAATTAATTAAAATAATAACCTTCGTTCACTCATTTTTTTTTTTTTTCATTTTAGTAACAATAACGACGAAGAAAAGACTCTGGAAATGCTGCTCAAACAATTGCCAAACGATGCCCAAATTATTATGTTCACGTTGAAGACGAGAATAATTGGACAATCCTTACTGATGAAGATGTAATAGAATTAGTAAATCGGGAGGAGATTAGTAGCGAAAGTGAAGCTGAAACGGTAGAAAAGTTAGAAACAATAAGTAATAGAACAGCCAGTACATCAATCGACACAGTTTTAAAATTCTTGTATCAAAAGGACCAGAATTTGGCGAGGTTGTCGAAGAAGTAAAGATTTTGAGAGCATTACGCAGACGGGTGGAGCTAGTCATTCAGAAAAATCTTAAACAAGTTAGTC